AGAAATATTGGACTCAATTGTGATCGTAAGTTGAGTGTTACTTGTACTCAAATGATCTTTGGATTTCAATTAATTTAATTTCATAAGGATATTTTGACTTCTTTCTTTTAAGGATATCCAAAGCCAGGAGCTTTTGTTAAACCTTATGAGACCTTTAAGTATGAGTGGAGAGTTCCTGAAAGTGTTGGGCCTACACAGAATGATCCAGCATGCCTCACTTACCTGTATTATTCGGCAACTGATGCAATGATGGATACTCAGTCTGGTCTGGTGGGACCTCTTATCATTTGTAAGAAAGATACTCTGAAATCCGATGGAAGCCAGGTACAAAGCTTGATAATATTCTGAACGGCTGACTGCATAGATGGAACGAAAGGATGATTGTTGCACACCTCCAAATGCAAAGTAACAACTTGACAACATAAGACTTACCTTGCTGGTCAGAAGACATCAAAACTAGAAAGATTTTGCATCCACCATAATGTTCAGTTAAGGAAGGAAGTCTTGATGTTTAGTTATAGCAATCTTGGTCACAATTACCAAATTCATTATATTTAGTACTTTCCTCAGGTCAAGCATCTTCCAGATAAGTGGACTTCAGTTCCCAGAATTCTCAGCAATAGCTCTGCTGGTCAGCCAAGTTGTGGGAGTTGAAGTCCACACATCTGAAGAGCAGCTTGCAGGGAGCAAAACAAATACTTCAAGACTAGTATCTTCCAAATCAGTAAATAAACTTCAGTGAAAGTAATTAAGCTACTAAAAATACACCAACAAATGCAATCTGACCCATCCTGAATTGCATAAATAATCCACTCAAAAGAAGACCATGAAAATGGTTAAATCTTAGGACTTGGTTGGTGATAAAGCTTAGTGAGTTTTAGACAATATAATAATTTGTTTCAGAGATGTAGAGTCCTGTGAAAAGGGCTCCTGTCTAGAACATCCAACCAAACTACCCCCAGAAGGTGACAAATAAAAAGGTACCTTAAAGCACGGGTCCACAATCCCCGGGCCACGGCCCATTTCAGGACCTTGGTCCATTCAGAACCAGACAATACAAGTGGCGGGCAAGAGTACTTGTGTGTGAACCTCCATTTGTGTGAGCGGCGTATGTGCATGTGGAACCATCCCCTCTCCTCCTTGCTAGTCTGCCATGCCAGAAAGATTGGAGACCGCTGTCTTAAAGAATGGAATGTCACTTTATTTAACAGTAACTGTTATGTATTAAGACCTAATCTTAATGTATTATGAAACTAATGAACCTCCAACTGTTTTGGAGGGAAACTTCAAGAATTTAAGTTTAGGCGGGAGCGAGCTAACGTTGTGATTGGCTGATGCCCTAGAGGCGGAAAGTATAAATTGCAGGCATTTGTCGGTTTTTGACAGTTCTGTTCTGAGTTAATAAACACTGTTGTACTATGCCAGTCTGGTTATTGCCTACGAAACCCACTACACAATAGTAACAATCCTAAAATTCTTTGTACCGCAGCAGAACTGAATCTTGTAATGATCAACAGGTACTTTAACATACAAGCAGCCCTTGACCTACAACCTTTCATTTAGCGACTGTCTGAAGTTATCACAACATTGAAAAATACGCTTATGACAAGTCTTTGCACTTACGACCATCGTAGCATCCCATGATCATTTAAGAGCCGTGGTGGTGCAGTGGTTAGAATGCAGTACTGCAGGCTACTGCTGCCAGCAGTTCAACAGTTCAATTCTCACCGGCTCAAGGTTGACTCAGCCTTCCATCCATCGGTAAAAAGAGGATCCAGATTGTTGGGGGCAATATGCTGACTCTGTAACCTGCTTAGAATGGGCTGTAAAGCACTGTGAAGTGGTATATAAGTCTAAGTGCTGTTGCTAATCAAAATTCAGGCATTTGGCAACTGGCATGTATTTATGACAGTTGCAAGGTTCCACGATTACATGATCACCCCTTGTGACTTTCCCAGTCAGCTTCCAACAAGCAAAGTCAGTGGGGAAACTGAATTCACTTAAAGACCATGTGATTCGTTTAACAACTGCAGTGATTCACTTATCAAGCATGGCAAAAAGGATCAAAGCTTAAAAAAATTGAGCATGATTCACTTAACATCTGTCTTGTTTGGAAATGGAAATTCTGGTCCCCATTGGGGTTACAAGTTGAGGGCTACCACTACTGTATGGACAATAAGGGAAAAGTGGGTACTTCGATTAAGAAAAGGCTGTGATACGTTGGCTAAAGGCTACTGGTAGTAAGTCTGGCGTGTTGGCAGCTTTAAAAAAACTGATGTATGGCAAAAGAGACAGGCAGTTTCAATGATAAGTTACTTTGTTTTATTTTTTTTTAAAAATGCTTATCTTAGGTAGTAGCCAAAATGTCCCATCTGCATGTAAACCAGAAATTTCTTTCTGGTTTTCTATTTGTTCTGCAGACTAAACATTTGCTGTTTTAATGAACAATATTTATGTTTTGGCTACAGAAAGGAGTAGACAAAGAATTCTATCTGCTCTTCACTGTCTTTAACGAGAATCAGAGTTTTTACTTTGACCTAAACATTGACGCTTTTACTGGCGATCCCTCGACGGTTCATAAGGAGGACAAGGACTTTGAGGAATCCAACAGAATGCATGGTATGAAAAATATACATTTGGGAAGCTAGGCAACGGAGATTTTCAACATGATGCAAACATATAGGGTAGAATTATATACTGTGAGATAAGCATAGGGCTATATAGGAGTTTATACTACCGTTTGCCATCCATTCTGAGGAGTAATTTTCTCCATCATAAGAATGCCATGAATTGAAAAGAGGGTAGAATTAGTCTTTCTTTTCTTCACCTGATCATGGAAGGTGGCCAAAATGCTGTTGCTTTTTTTTCTCTCTCTCTCTCAAAAATTGGGAGGGACTTGTGGAACAGCAGTTAAATGATTAAGAAATGGATGGACTAGCGCAGTGGTGGCGAACCTATGGCACGCGTGCCAGAGGCGGCACTCAGAGCCCTCTCTGTGGGCACACATGCCATGCCCCGGAGATGGCAACTGTCCCTCTTCAACCAGCCGCCCGCTAACTCACCGAGGTCCCACATGGCCAGATGCATCCTGGCACGGCTGGTTTCCCTCCCCCCCGTCCCATCCCTCCTGGCCTCGCATGCTCTCCTTTTCCTGGGCACGACCCACTTCATCTCCTCCTCAGCTGTCAGCTGGCCGTCCAGCTCAGAGGCGGCTTCTCTAAACTGCTGGCGGTGGGCTGCAGAGCTTCAGGGTGTGCTGGTCAAGGGGCCGGCAGGCTGTGGCTGCTGACGGACACTGTCGGCTCCCATGCGCTCGCTGGCCTCTGTGTGCAGAGGCCGATGGTGTCAGGCAGCAGCTGCCCCGGCCCCTGCCTCACCTTGCCCTGCAAAAATGGCACCCCCACCCTGCCTTGCCTTGCCTTGCCTTTCCTCACCCTGCAGGACGAGCCCCCTGCCAACCGCCCCACCTGCCAGAGACCCCCTGGATCTCCCCCAACCCTGCCCAGCCCCCACAGAAGTCCCTCCCCACAAGCAACATCGAGGTGACCATGCCCACCTTGGCCATTTACCCACCCAATCTGCCATGACCACCACGCCCACCCAGGGGGCCACGCCCACCTGGCACCCGGCGATAAATAAGTGGGTTTTGGGTTGCAGTTTGGGCACTCGGTCTCTAAAAGTTTCGCCATCACTGGACTAGCGGTTAAGATGCTGGCTTGTCAACCAGAAGGTTGACAGTTCGAGACCCAACACTGTGTGATGGGGTGAGCTCCCGTTCCTTGCTCCAGCTCCTGCCAACTTAGCAGTTTGAAAGCATGCAAACACGAGTAGATAAATAGGTACCATTTTGGTGGGAAGGTAACATATTGTCATGCTGGCTGCATGACCACAGAAACATCTTCAGACCATGCTGGCTCTCTCAGCTAAGAAATAAAAATGAGCACCACCCTCTAGAGTAGACACAACTGTGCAGGGGAATCCTTTACCCTTTTTTTAAAAAAAAATATGGCAGGTCCAATGAGAATTGGGATAGATTTGAAAATGAGCAGAATTATTTCTTGGATTTGATGGGACTCAGAGATGATGTCCTTCACTCCCCAAGACAGAGAAATCTTGCAGAGCCAGCCAAATGATTTTTTTTATATCTACTATGTCTTTTCCACTAAATTGATTTTTTGGGGTAAGGAAACAAGTATTCTTACTGTTTTTCTGTCATTCAGCCAGAATCTGCCTTGCTGCAATTTTCTTTTTCTCCTTTCAGCGGTCAATGGCTACCTGTTTGGTACCTTAGCTGGCCTCAACATGTGCAAAGGTGATGTTGTTTCTTGGCATATGCTTGGACTAGGTAGCAGTACAGATATTCACGGCGTCCATTTCCAAGGAAATACCATCCATTTGGGAGGCACAATAAGGGACAGTCTCCCTTTGTTCTCCCATGTTACAAACACAGCACTGATGCAGCCAGATCAAACAGGTAAATCTTGCAGATGGGCTCTAAGCATCGTCCCTTGACTTGCCACCAAAGCAACTTCTCCCTGTACTATCTTAACATGATGGCAAGACGCAAATTATGCATACTTCTGAGTAATTAACTTTTTGAATAATTCCGCTTACAGATTCCAGTTATCTTTTTACATCTATGATTGTAAATTCAAATAGACAACAGGTTCTAATTCTGGTTGCAAGTTTGGTTTTATTTATCTCTGTTTTTCCCAATTAAATCTTTTCCCCTCTTATCCAAAATACAATCTGTCTATTTTTTATTTTTTATTTTTTTTGTATTAAAGGACCTATTCATTTTTAGTACAAAACTTGGCCATTTTTATTGCTTAAACCCTTTTTTTCATAATCATGACTAAACATCCAGTCCTCACTTTGATCAGCTAGTATTATAGTCAATGTCTCAATTTCCTTTCAGGGACTTTCCAAGTGGCTTGTAAGACATTTGATCACTTTACTGGTGGGATGAAACAATGGTATAATGTTAAATCCTGTGGCAAGGAGTCATCTGATGATAGACACTATGGAACAGCGAGGACCTACTATGTTGCTGCAGAAGAGGTAGAATGGGATTATGCCCCTGATAAGACCTGGGCCGAGAAGAAGATGGAAGGAATGAGCAAAAAAGAAAGGTAAGGATGGATTATGTCAGTGGTGGCGTACCTATGGTAGGGGTGCCAGAGGCGGCACTCAGAGCCCTCTCTGTGGGCACGCCACCTTCGCCCCAGTCCTAGGCCTTCAGCTGGGTTTTATAAAACCTTTTCGCTTTAGGCCTCCGCCACTGTGTGCAAAAAAAAAGGGTCAATCAGTCAATTTCAACTTCTCGCGGGAAAAAATAGATATTGCAAAGTTGGAATTGATTGATTGAATTTTTTAGTCCCACTCAGTCTGCTGTTACCATCGCAGCCACGCCCACCCAATGGGCCATACCCACCCAATGGGCCACACCCACCCAATGGGCCACACCCACCCAATGGGCCACACCCACCCAATGGCCACACCCACCCGGCACCCGACGATGCATAAATGGGTTTTCGGTTGCAGTTTGGGCACTCGGTCTCGAAAAAGTTCGCCATCACTGGTATATGGCATGACCATGAATACTGGCTGTAAGTAGACCCAGGTAGGTCCACTGTAACTTCCATAGGCAACTGATCCTAAATTGGAGACCCCCTGTGAACCGAACACGATTCTTTTCAATGGCAGCCGTGACTCGTATGTTATACTTCAGGCGTCAATCAGTCTGAACTTTAAAATCCCATAAAAGTTTTCGCTCCATCATTTTCATTGACTTGATCTGTGATTTCATGATTTCAGGAATTCTTGACTGTGGATATGTACAAATGACTAATTATTATATAGAGTTATGAATATTGTGATACTTTTACTTATTTTTCAAGTTATGGACATATATTTCTGAGCCAAGGTGAACATACGATAGGTTCGAAGTACAAGAAGGCGGTTTATAGAGAATACAAAGACGGAAAATTTATGGAGCACAAAGAAAGGACCTTAGAACAGGAACATCTGCAAATTCTAGGTGAGGAACTTGGATAAACCATGAGACAGATTTTTGACACATGAGTTTTAAAACAGTTGCAAAATGTTTTCCTTTCAAAGGGGAACCCTGCTGATTTCAGTTAAATGTATTCCTCAGGATGTGTGCTTAGGTGTGCAACATCAATGTAAAAGGGTAAGAAATGGTTGAGATAAATCCTCTTAAACCTCTATTCCAAATAGCTTCCATTTTCTTTCTGTTTTGTCTTTTGGCTTCTATTTCTGCAGAGCAGCATTTGCCTTCATTGTGCAGGTGTGCATTTCGGACGTCCCATTTGCTTCCTTGGGAGAAAATGCCACTGCTGCAATGTCATTAACATAGAATTATAAGGTTGGAAAAGACTTTGGACTTTATTGGTCCAACTCCCTCCAGAAAAATGGTTATCCAACCTGTGCTTCAAAAGCTCTAGTAATGGAGCTTCCATGATTTCAGGAGATAAGATGTTCTTCTGCTTAGTAGCTCTTACGTTCAGGAAATTTTTCCTTCCTCTGTACAACTTCTATTCACTGATTAAGGAAAATATAAGGAAATTTCTCCTTAGTTCTAGGTTCTCCCCTTGATTAGTTTCCATCCGTTGCTTCTTGTCCTGCCTTCAGGTGCTTTGGAGAATAGGTTGACTCCCTCTTCTTTGTGGCAGCTCCTTAGATACTGGAACACTGCTATCATGTCACCCCTAATAAACTAGACATTCCTGCAACCATTCTTCATATGTTTTAGCCTTCAGTCCCCTAATCATCTTTGTTGCTCTTCTCTACACTCCTTCTAGAGTCTCAACATCTTTTTATGTAATGGCGACCAAAGCTGGATGCAGTATTCCAAGTGTGATCTTACCAAGGCATTATAAACTAGTACTAACACTTCATGTAAGCTTGATTCAGTGCCTCTGTTAATGCAGCTTGGGGCTGTGTTGGCTTTTTTGGCAGCTGCAGCACACTGCTGGCTCATATTTTTAAGTGATTGTCCACTAGGACTCCAAGGTCCCTCTCACAGTTACTACTATTGAGCCAGGTACCACCTATACCAGTGTTTCTCAACCTTGACAATTTTAAGGTATGTGGACTTCAACTCCCAGAATTCCACAGCCAGCAATGCTGGCTGTGGAATTCTGGGAGTTGAAGTCCACATACCTTAAAATTGTCAAGGTTGAGAAACACTGACCTATACCATACCTGTGCATTTGGTTTTTCTTGCCTAAATGTAGAACCTTACTTTTTTCACCATTGTGCCATCTGGAAGCATCTTCTCTGAATGTATTTTCTCATATTTGAAGAAATTTGCAAATTATGCTTCTCACCAGAAGATGGAGCAGTAGATCAGTTGACATGGAGAAATTCCGGCAGATCAGGCTGGAAATGAGTCTTGTTGATTTTTAAAGCAGCGTGTCATGGTTTAATATATGTTATTGACATTAATTTAAGTATCGTTATGCAAAGCCAGAGTGAATGATTTATTGCAGCGGCCCCCAGCCTTTTGGGCATGAGGGACCGGTTTCCATGGAGAGAGATTTTTCCCTGGACCGGTGGGGGCGTGGTTTTGCGTACTGCCTGCATCCCGTGGATGGGTGCTTCGCTTGTTTGGCTGGCCCGGTTTCTGGCATGCCACGGCCCGGTGCTGGTACATGGACTGAGGGTTGGGAACCCCTGATTTATTGTATTTCCTAATAGAACAACTAAATGAAAACAGCTTCTACTTCAACACTTTATCCACTAAAAAAACAGTAGAGCAGGATAGTGATCCATAAATTACTATTTTTTACTATTGTGTAATTAATTTCATGCTCGTTTTTAGAGTTCTTGCCATTCTCTACATTTTAATAATAATATAAATTTAATACAATATTAATATAGAACTAAGGAGAAACTTCCTGACAGTTAGAACAATTAATCAGTGGAACGATCTGCCTCCAGAAGCGGTGAATGCTCCAACACTGGAAATCTTTAAGAAGAGACTGGACAGCCATTTGTCTGAAATGGTATAGGGGTTCCTGCCTGAGCGGGGGGTTGGACTAGATGACCTCCAAGATTCCTTCCAACATTATATTATTATTATTATTGTTGTTGTTGTTATTGTTATTAAATATAGAATAAAATATAAAATATAGAATATATTGTTGTTGTTACAAACAGACTGTTGGTATTACAAAAAACACAATGCATATAGATACATATACTTATACTTATTATTATCATGATTATTATTATATAATAGAATATATGAATGTATAAAACAATTAATATATAATATTAAGTAATATACCGTATATTCCGGCGTATAAGACGACCCCCGACTTTTGAGAAGATTTTCAGGGTTTAGAAAGTCGTCTTGTACGCCGGAAAATACGGTACATTTAATAATATATATTTCTTAAAAAATACAGTGATTGTTTTTTCTTGTTTTGCCTTAGGGCCTCTCATTCACGCAGAAGTTGGTGACTTGGTAGTAATAATGTTTAAGAACAGAGCCAGTAGGCCCTACTCCATATCAGCTCATGGAGTACAAGAAGATGCTGGAACTAAAACTCACGTTACCATGCCAGGTACAGTAGCAGATCAGAACAGGAGATACAATCCTCATTTTCAAACAAGTCCTTTGAGTTGGATTTGATACCAGATGAGTTCAGAGCCTTCTAGTTCCTTGAGCCACAAAATGGAACAGATTTCCCACTGCCTTCTTCCAAGAAGATTTTTTCCAGCTTTCCTAGGAAACATACAAAACTGGGGATTTCCTTTCTGTCTTTCATCCCACAGGTAGTCCCTGTCTTACAACAGTTCATTTCATGACTGTTTGAAGTTACAACGGCACTGGGAAAAAATGACTTAGGATCATTTTTCACACTTACGACCATTGCAGCATTCCCATGTGGTGGTGTGATCAAAATGCAAATGCTTGGGAATTGACTTATATTTATGACGGTTGCAATGTCCCGGGGTCATGTGATCCCCTTTTGCAACCTTGTGATAAGCAAAGTTATTGGGGAAGCCAGATTCACTTAACAACCGTGTTACTAATTTAACTACTGCAGTGATTCACTTAACAATTGTGGCAGGAGAGGTCATAAAATGGGGCAAAAACTAACTTAACAACTGTCTCACTTAACAACAGAAATTTAGGACTCACTTGTGGTCGTAAGTTGAGGATTACCTGTACAGTCATTCAGTGTTTTGGATTTTTCTCCCAAAACAGCTTCTGGATGTACAAAGGAGCTTTGATTCTTCCCAAAATGATACAGCAGGTGGAGAGGGTTGCCGTGCAAAACCCAGGAAAATGCATGGCTGTTTTAAGATGTTGCCAACAGCTGTTCTGTTCATGCTGTTGTGTTCTCCAAAGCCTGTGGTCTGTTGGTCCAAACTTGGTTGATCCAAAGTTTTCGACTGTTTGGAGACAAAATCCAAAGGATTGTACAGCCCTAAAGTCTGATCCTGCTTAGCTTTTTGAAATCAACCAAAGTTATTAGTTGTTGCTACCTAGCTGGTATTCTGTCACCCTGCCTATTTAACTTATATGCATGAGAAAGGCAGGGCTAGATGAATCAAAAGTTGGAATTAAGATTGCCGGGAGAAATATCAACAACCTAAGATATGCAGATGATACCACTCTAATGGTAGAAAGTGAAGAGGAACTAAAGAGCCTCTTGATGTGGATGAAGAAGGAGAGTGCAAAAGTTGGCTTGAAACTCAACATTAAGAAAACCAAGATCATGGCATCAGGCCCTCTCAATTCCTGGCAAATAGATGGGGAAGAAATGGAGGTAGTGACAGATTTTATCTTCCTGGGCTCCAAGATTCACCACAGATAGGGACTGCAGCCAAGAAATTAAAAGATGCTTGCTCCTGGGGAGGAAAGCTATGGCAAATTTAGACAGCATACTAAAAAGCAAAGACATCACCCTGCCAACAAAAGTACATATAGTTAAGGCCATGGTTTTCCCAGTTGCAATGTATGGCTGTGAAAGCTGGACCATAAGAAAGGCTGAACGCAAAAGAATTGAGGCCTTTGAAGTATGGTGCTGGAGAAGAGTCCTGCGAGTCCCCTGGACTGCAAGGTGATCAAACCAGTCAATCCTAGAGGAGATCAACCCTGACTGCTCTTTAGAAGGCCAGATCCTGAAGTTGAAACTCAAATACTTTGGCCACCTAATGAGAAGGAAGGACTCACTGGAGAAGAGCCTAATGCTGGGAAAGATTGAGGGCAATAGAAGAAGGGAGGACAGAGAATGAGGTGGCTGGATGGAGTCACTGAAGCAGTAGGCGTGAGCTTAAATGGACTCCAGAAGATGGTAGAGGACAGGAAGGCCTGGAGGAACGTTGTCCATGGGGTCGCGATGGGTCGGACATGACTTCGCAACTAACAACAACAACAACCTAGCTGGATGTTAGGAAACCTTCACTCTTAATTTAAAATGTTATCAATTACAGGTGGTCCTGGATTTACAACCATTGGGACTAAAACTTCCATTGCTAATGTGCTCATTAAGTGAGTCACATCCAATTTTATGGCTTTTTTGCCACAGTTATTAAGTGAATCGTCATTACTTTTAAGTGAATTATATGGTTGTTAAGAAAATCTGGTCTCTCCTATTGTCTTTGCTTCTCAGAAGCCTGGAAGCTGACCGGGAAGGGCGCAAATGGGCAATCATGTGACCCCAAACCCTGCAACCAAGCATCCAAATTTTGATCATATGACCATAAAGATACTGCAATTGTTGTAAGTGTGCAGATTGATTGTAAATCACTTTTTTCAGTACTGTTGTAACTTTGAATAGTTGCTAAGTAGTCAAAAGCTGAGGATTACCTATATTTGAAACCTTTTTAATATAAGGAATTTTAGAATGTGATTGGTACTACTGTGCAGCTCCTGAGCTACAAGCAAAATGATAAACCTTCATTGTTTCTGCACTTTAGTAAACATTCTGGTGGTTGGGCAATTCAGCTAAGTGCAAAAATCATAGTGAAATTATAGTATGTACAGGGGTATTATTATCAGAAGCACTGAATTATCTAAAACTAGCAGAGTTAAGCTGTAAAACATAACAGTCTTCAAATCAATACTTCCCAGTATAATTGTAATGCAAAATTGATTCAACCGAATTAGCAATTTGTATCCAATTCCATTTAAGACTATGAGAAGCAGTTGAGCTGCCTCTCATACACAAAGGATTGCATTATTAGATGGATTTACACATCATGCAAAACCATTATGTGGTTTGATTAATCTTGGTTTAGTGTGGCATGAACTCATGCAGCTATAGTCTGTAGTCTGTAGTTGAACCAATTTAGTATGGTCTGAAAACAACTTTTAGTCACTTAAAAATCCATTACAATGTCTTTAGTGGATTGCTAGCCATAACTTAAATTGCTTATACAGGTAGTCCTCAACCTGTAACTGCAGGTTACCGCAACTGAACCCAAAATTTCTGTTGTTAAGTGAGTTTTGCCTCATTTTACGACCTATCTTGCTACGGTTGTTAAGTGAATCTGGCTTCCCCATTGACTTTGTCAGAAGGTCGCAAAAGGGGATCACATAACCACGGGACACTGGAAGCATCATAAATATGAACCAGTTGCCAAGTGTCCAAATTTTGATCGCCTGACTATGGAGATGCTGCAATAATCGTAAGTGTGAAAAGCGGTCATAAGCCACTTTTTTCAATGCCATTGTAATTTTGGTCACAAAACGAATGGTTGTAAATCAAGGACTATTTATAGTTTGACTATTGATGCTTTTAAGCAGAATTTTGGCATTTTCAGGACTTCATCATAGACTTCTGATCTTAGGAATTAAAAGCAAGTCACACTTTTTAAAAAAAAAGTAGTTGGTATTTTACCAAAATTATCAAGTTGGATCAATTTTCATCGAATTTTGGATGTTGGATCATCTTTATTTTAACTTCCTCTTCTCCCCAAACTTACTTTTCTTAAACACAAATGTTTGCATGCAGGAGAAACAAACACTTATTCCTGGAGAATTCCACAACGATCAGGTCCCGGTGTTTCTGATCCAAACTGTATTTCTTGGGCTTATTATTCAACAGTGCATTTTGTAAAGGTAAATGAAATATCATATGGGGTATATGTATGGGGCAGTGGTGGGATTCAAATACCTGAACAACCGGTTCTCTGCGTGGATGCAGGCCTGGGCATCCAATGCCTAGAACAGACTTCCAGAAGTGGCATCCACGCACTTCCGGTGGGCTGTTCTAGGTCTGGGAGCCCTCCTCCCGCCGGTTCTCCAAACTGAAAAAAAATTAGCTACCGGTTCTACTGAACCGGTGCGAACCAGCTGAATCCCACCACTGGTATGGGATCATCTGTTCTTCCTTTAAGTTTGTCATGGAGGACAGCAAAGCATGAAATTTTGCAGCTTTTACCAGCACTGTAAGATTTGCATGTATGGACACGCTTAATTATTATTTATTTGGCATGGTCTATTTTTCTTGCACTTATTTTAAAAATCTTGCATTTAATAGTCTCTCTGTGTATGTATTTGTCTCTCTCTATGTATGAGGGCAATTCGGAAATAAACCTCCATTTGGTTATCAATGACAAGACACTCGCAGATACAGAACTTTTATTATACACATTAGAAAACTAAAACATTACATTATTTTTCGACATAATCACCATTCAAACTAAGGCACTTGTCATAACGTCTTACAAGGTTTGAAATTCCTTCTGCAAAAGAATCTCCCCCCTGAGAATGAAGCATCGTGAAGCGCATTGTCATCATCGAAGCGGTGCGACACAAGCCACTGTTTTATGTTCCCGAAGAGGTGGTAGTCGCTCGGCACCAAATCTGGGCTAAGAGGAGGGTGTGTGTGATCAAAAACATCCCAACGGAATTGCTTCAAAAGTTCTTGGGTACGTCTAGCGGTGTGCGGGCGAGCATTATCATGAACCAATGCCACACTGGACGTCAGCATGCTCCAACACTTGTTATGGATGGCTCGTCTGAGTTTTGTAACATTTCACAGTAGACTTCTGAATTGATGGTCGACCCACGCTCCATGAACTTCACTACCAGCACTCCTTTGATATCCCAAAATACTGTTGCCGTAACCTTTCTGGCAGACAATGTTTGCTGAGCTTTTGGGGGTTTCTTTGGTGAGTGCGTATGACACCACACCATTGATTGCTGTTTGCTTTCTGGGTTCACGTACGACACCCAGGTTTCATCGCCAGTCACAATACTGTTAAATTATTCTCCTTCCTCAGCAAAATGCATGAGAAAGTCCAAAGCAGAACCCATCTGGTGTGTTTTGTGCTCCTCAGAAAGGAGTTTTGGTACCCAACGAGTGCAGAACTTGCGATATCCCAAATTTTCTGTCACTACCTCGTACAAAACAGTCCGAGAAATTTGGGGAAAGTGTAAAGAAAGTGCAGATATCGTGAATCGACGGACTTCACAGATCTTTTTGTCAATTTCCTGCACGAGTTTATCCCTGACTACAGATGGGCAGCCACTCCTTGCCTCATTGTGCTGATCAATTCGTCCATCTTTAAACATGTGACACCACTGACGTACAACACCTTCACTCATCACATTTGGTCCATAAACATTACACAGTTCGTGATGAATCGCAGCTGCCAAAAAGTTTTTTTTGCACCCAGGAATCGTACTACTGCATGCACTTCACATTTGTCAGGATTTTCTATGGCAGGGTTAATTTTCAATTGATCTAGCGGACGAGTCAACTGCAACACAACCTTCTCCTTCCACTCCTCACTGCCTACTGAACTACTTGCACACAGCGCTGTTTGGAACGTGGCTCAAGATCCCAAAACAAACAAACTCAATTGGAATTCCAGCAACAAAGTTTTATTTTAAAAAGAAGCATTTGCAAAGGTTTGGTGAGCTGAAACACGCATAGGAGTCCAGCCACCCCTTAGAGAGCTGTTTGACACATTTTTATATCCTACCCCTGATGCAGATTCCCCCCTCCCCTATCGCACTCAACACCCCTTTCCAGATCATCTGATAAACTAACCTGGACCACCTAAAACCACTGTCCCCCCCCATGTTCCAGGAAGCCCCTTTGTGCACATCCTATCTATCACATCTAATTTTCTATTAACAAAGCTCAATTCTTATAATTATCTCTACATTAGTTTGCAGTTATACCTTTGTTACCTTAAGTTCTAAACTTTATCCTCAGTTTTTGTGTTTCCTCTACTTGCTGTTTCAGTTAGCTAGCAACTTCTGCTTTTCTTATTTGTATGTAATTCACTTGTCTTAATTTATGACTTTCAGGTGGCTTCTTCTATCGACCTTTAGACTCCTTAGATATTTCTGATTAATAATCTACTCCTTTCAGCACCATAGGATGGGTGTCACTATCCCTGCCTATTTCTCACACATGCTCAAATGGAGGTTTATTTCCAAATTACCCTTATATATGTATGTTTGTGTGTGTGTATACATGCATATACATATGCACACACAAACAAATACAAACACACACATACATCGCTATCAAATAAAAGAACCCATTCTTTGTCATGTTTTCTTTTTTTTCTGTTCTTTAATTTCAGGATTTGTGCAGTGGTTTGATTGGAGCCCTTATAGTTTGCAGGAAGGGGATATTAAATGAAACGGGCTCAAGGAGTGATATTGTTCGTGAATTTGGTCTTCTTTTTATGATTTTTGACGAAAATGAATCGTGGTATTTAAATGACAACATTGTCAAATATCTGCACAAAAACCCTGAAGAATTTAACCCTACTGGTAATTTTACGAAAGGGAACAGAAAGTATGGTATGTGGTTTACTACATGGAATAAGAGAATTACTTTTTGAAAAATATAATGCTTTATCAATTGCTTAGGTTTTGCGTCATAGTGCAATTTCCCCAAACTCAAAGGCAACCTCAGCTTTCAAAATAATAATAATAATAATAATAATAATAATAATAATAATAATAATAATAATAATAATAATAATAATAATAATAATAATAATAATAATAATAATAATAATAATAATGGTGGTGGTGGTGGTGGTGGTGGTGGTGGTGGTGATGATGATGATGATGATGATGATGTCTTGCAGTCTTATTGAGCCACTATACTGCTATAAACTTTAGAAGAATTTAAAAAGAATTCTCTGTCCTTTAGAACAGTGGTTCTCAACCTGTGGGTCAGGACCCCATTTGGGGTCGATCGACCATTTCATGGGGGTCGCCAAGCAAGGCTGTCCGCCATTTTTTTTGTCCGCCATTTTTTCCCCCTTTTCCGGTGGGTGCCTTACCTCCCTTGGGCTGGGCCAGCTGGTGGTCGGCCTGCTCCGTCTCTGCCGCTTGCCAGCTACGCCTCGGCCGGCGCAGTGGGCGGAACCACGCATGCATGGCGCTCCCGGGCAGGGAAAGTCCTCGACTTACGACCGGTTGGGTAGTCCTCGACTTACGACCGGTTTAGTCCTCGACTTACGACCGGTTGGGGTCGCGGCATTAAAAAGGTTGAGAACCACTGCTTTAGAATAAACTTGTTAAAAATGTTCCTGGTCTAACTTAATATGCTGACCAGCTTCAAAGATTACACTGAACTATAATGTGGTTTGCTTCTGTTGGGTTGAATAGGTTGTGTGAATGTAGCTGGCTGCAAACTAGGATATTTTTGTGGTTGGGAGCCACACTATATTTAAGAGTAGAAAGACCATCACGCACTGTTGGCAAAACCAGAATTATCAGCCAGTGGAGGCAAGTATCAGCAGGTTTTCAGATCAATATTTTATGAGGGTTTTTTTCCCTTTATCTTTAAACCACATTCTGTTTTAGAGTTTATACTACAGTTTCCTTGTGTTTTTAACACGATAGAGCATGTGAGCATGTGAAACAATGCTCTTGGGCCCACAAATGAAGATTTGGCCTGAGGTAGCCCATTCTTGTGAGTTATGGCTCAGGGTATACTATGCACCTAACTAACTCTGGTTTATTAACCATTATTAAGCAGCCATGGTGCAACACCTCAGCCACTATATGTAGGAAAAGTTTCAGTTGGAAAAATATTCAAATAAGTAAAATTTCCATGAACCCCATTTTACTCTCAAAATGCATTGATACGTGAGCTGTTCTAGCAGAAAGGCGTGCAAATGAAGACTTGGTGATCAGAGACATACAAATAAATTTCTCAGTGGGTAACTTCAATTCCCATTGGATCGGAGGTCATCTGGGTGTCCTTCCCAGTTGCCCCTGGTGCTCAAAGAATTTCTGCAATAGTCAAGTATATATTAAGGGTCACATAACGGAAGGATGTAGAAATCAAAGAAAAGAAGACTGAGAATTTGCTCACGTAAAGGACTCTCTGAATCCAAACTAATAATTCCAAAAGTCTTTGGAATAACATATCCTGTGTTTCAAGGGAGGGGGTCCTTCGTGCTCTCTGAACTTGGTTGTTTTCTTGCAGACATTTCATTACCCAAACTAGGTAACAGCATCAGTGCTTGATCCATGCTTGAGCACTGATGATGTTACCTAGTATGGGTAATTACATCGCACTCATGATGCTTCTGGGTTGAAAGGATAAGCCGATTACATCACCATTGCCCGGGGGATGCTTATAATAATAATAATAATAATGATAAAGTTGGAAGGGACCTTGGAGGTCATCTAGTCCAACCCCCTGCTCAGGCAGGAAACCCTATACCATTTCGGACAAATGGCTGTCCAGTTTCTTCTTAAAAACTTCCAGTGTTGGAGCATTCACCCCTTCTGGAGGCAGGTTGTTTCACTGGTTAATTGTTCTAACTGTCAGGAAGTTTCTCCTTAGTTCTAGGTTGTTTCTCTCCTTGATTAGTTTCCACCCGTTGCTCCTTGTCCTGCCTTCAGGCGCTTTGGAGAATAGCTTGACTCCCTCTTCTTTGTGGCAACCCCTGAGATATTGGAACACTGCTATCATGTCCCCCCTCGTCCTTCTCTTCGTTAAACTGGACCTACCCAATTCCAGCAGCCGTTCCTTATATGTTTTAGCCTCCAGTCCCCTAATTGTCTTTGTTGTTCTTCTCTGTACTCTTTCTAGAGTCTCAACATCTTCTTTCATGTCCTTCTTTCATGTCCTCAGCAGGAGTTGGAGCAAAGGACAGGAGCTCAGCCCAACCCAAGGCAACGTTCAGATCTCAAACACAGGCTTGCTAATCTCCAACTCAGCGTCCTAACCATGCAAGCCGCCATGCTCCTTTAGTTTGGGTAATGAAAGGTCTGCATGAAGAGAACCAAGCTCAGAGAGCACAAAAGACCCCCTCATTTCAACCCTCAGCTACAAATATTCTCCTTTATGGCTTTCAAGTCACAGAGGAACACTCAGATCTGTGATTCATTCCTTTCACATCTGTCCCTTGTGTGTTTTTTTCAGCAATCAATGGGAAAATCTTTAATAATCTCGCTGGGCTGATAATGAATGAAGGAGACGGCACAAATTGGTACCTGATAGGAATGGGAAATGAACTTGATATCCATACTGTCCATTTTCATGGTGAAACCTTTATTTTCAAGGTTGGTATTGACCAGGGTGGGCAATTCTTTTTGTGCTAAGGGTCACCATTGGCTTAAGTGACATATTTAGGGTGATACTCCCAAAAGTAATTGGTGGACCCAGGACAAAAGAAAAGAAAATAGGAAAAAAAGCAATTTCATTTACATTTGATTTTAATCATATAGTTATATGGTCATATAGTTCATATGAGTATTTTCCAGTCTTAATCACTTTCTGTCACATTAAACAATTGCAATTTGGTAATAGATTTAGAATGCTGCTTGGGGCATACTCCATACTTTCTGAGCCTATATGTACTTCTGAGTAAAAAAATAAGTATGATTTGTATTTTAGTAAATCTATATAGGAAATGCTAGATTTTCAAAATACTGCAAACAGGAAGCACAGAAATAGTAATACATTATATTTTGTGGAGCAAAAATTATTGTTTTATGGATTTGATATAAGCCACTCTATATGGAGGGTTACATACGTACAATAATTTTCTACAATTGCATTCAAACAGCACACTTAGAGTAACTCAGTTATTGAATTACCTTAGGTTTTGAGTATAGTAAACTATAAATAAACAACATGCTAAGCCACTAAAGAAACAAAATAAAATTATATCAAACTTAGCACATTGTAGAAACGCAGATACTAACTCTTTAACGAAACTGCTTAGGTGTATTGTGTGAACACAGCCATTTAATCAACCTGTTTGCCAGAATATACGAGTTATTTTAAAAAATGAATGGTAAAAGAGGAACAGAATATGTTTCCTGAACTGTAACTCTAGCAGTACAGGAAGTCCTCAACTTACAAACATTCACTTAATGACCATTTGAAGTTACGACAGCATTAAAAAATAGTGACTTACAGCTATGACTGTTGCAGCTATGACTGTTGTAGCCTCCCTATAGTCACATAATCAAATTTTGGGCACTTGACAATCGGAATATATTTGCGACAGAATGCAGCATCCCAGGATTAGGTGAATGCCATTTGCAACCTTCTCAGCCAGCTTCCCGACAAGCAAAGTCAATGGGGTGGGGGAAGCCAAATTCACTTAATGAATGCATGATTATCTTAACAACTATGGCAAAAAAAAGTCATAAAATCAAGGTCTGTTTCCATTAACGAACACCTGACTTATTGATGGAATTTTCAGCTCCAATTGTGGCAGGAAACCTAGATAAGGTAGGCTCGGAAAGTATGGACCCTCCAAACCATAACCATGGGCTCCGAATCTGTTGTTGGTGTCCATTTCACTCTATGAATTCACGGAGACCTAACCCTAATCTTAAGTGGGTTTTTCCCGCCAATGGGATTTTCCCAAGTATTTCACCAGGAAATGTAGTAAAGGTCGGCTTAAAAAAAATGCATTCTCCTAAACATTCCCATGGGTTCCCAATCCATGGATGGTGTCCATTTCGCTCTACGAATTCATGGAGACATAACCCTAACCCTAAGTGGGTTTTTCTCACCAATGGGATTTTCCCATCTATTTCACCAGGAAATGTAGATAAGGAAAGTATGCGCTTGGAAAGTATGCGCCCACCTAACCATACCCATGGGCTCCAAATCTGTTGTTGGTTTCCATTTCGCTCTACGTATTTACCGAGAGGTAACCCTAACCCTAAGTGTATGAAATCTTTATAATGCTTCCTGTCTTTCCACAGATGGATCACCATCACAGAGGAGATGTGTATGACCTTATCCCTACAACTTTTCAGACAATTGAACTTGTAGCATTTAATCCTGGGACCTGGCTTTTACATTGCCATGTGCACAATCACATTCAAGCAGGGATGGAAGCCACATACACCATTATAAAAGCAGGTAATAAAATAGGTATAAGTATAAACAGAATAATGTATATTAAAATAACATATAAAATAATAAAATAGGTTATTATTTTTATTAACAATTTTAATACAAATGATTAAATGTAATAAAAATAGGCTACAGTTCTTTGGCAGCAAATGTTGGGCTGGATTTGTGGGAAATCCTCCTTCTTCTCTGGTTTATCTCTGACAGCCACCAGGATGGCCCCTCCCTCTAGATTCTTCCCCAGAATGACCCAAAGCAATCTTGTCCTAGGTTAGGCATAGGGACACAAGGTGGCTAAAGCACAGCTTTAATTTAGTTCAAATTTTAAAAGAATAGTTATGGCACACAAGAATTATTGGTGCAATAGTCCAAAGGTCAGAGGTCAACCCTGTTTCAGTCTTATACAAAGTTCCAGAAGATAAGGAGAGTAAAACCCAAGTTCTGAAGAAGATGCTCCAGTTCTTGTACCAAGCAGTCCCAAAGTCTCTCTTCCTTAAACATTACTTCAAAGGCATGAGTGACTCTCTAGCAATATTCTGGAGGTCATAACCTCAATGCCTTTTACTCAGGTGAGCTGACTGCAGTCATCCAAGCATGCTGACCTAGTTTTGAGTTGATCTTCATACCCAAGACATTGTCCTACACAAGCAAGCACTTGGCATCTCTCTGCCTTCTGACATGCATTCAGTTCAGAATTCAGTTCTGACAGTTAGAACAATTAACCAATGGAACAACCTGCCTCCAGAAACAGTGAATGCTCCAACACTGGAAGTTTTTAAGAAGAGACTGGACAGCTATTTGTCTGAAATGGTATAGGCAGGGCTTTTTTTCTCATAGAAGGCCCAGAACGGAGTTCCGGCACCTTTTTTGGATGAAAACTTGTAGGGTAGGCAAGGCGGGCTGTATGACGTGTGTGAGTTCTGGCACCTTTTTTTTTTTTTTTTTTTTAGAAAAAAAGCACTGGGTATAGGGTTTCCTGCCTGAGCAGGGGGTTGGACTAGATGACCTCCCAGGTCCCTTCCAACTTTATTATTATTATTATTATTATTATTATTATTATTATTATTATTATTATTATTATTATTACTACTACTACTATTACTACTACTACTACTACTACTACTACTACTATTATTATTATTATTATTATTATTATTATTATTATTATTATTATTATTATTATTATGAAGTAGTAGTGCAATTGCTGTGAGCTAAATGGCTATATCAGCTCAGGAGGTACAGCAAGTTCTGGGCTTAGTTCCCGATTCAACTGGAGCAGAAGGCTTGGAATCACTTGACCCACTCTTCTAAGGAACCATTCTCAGATGAGGCCCTAACCCAAACAACATGCCAATTGCTATTTGCGATCGTTGCTATGAAATGGCAGCTATGCAGAGATTCATTCAATTATTCCTTGATCTGAGGATACACACTTTCTCCAGTCTGGAGCATGAAAGATAGTAGTTCTCCACAAAGCATAGGAACAACCACACGCTCACACTTTTATTTAGCGACAAATCCTTAAGAATGGATAGGGGCTTCATTTAAAAGTGTGATGAGGCTTATCTTGAACAATGATGGACCTTTTTTTAAAAAAAAACAACAAAACAAATTAGGATGTCTTTCTGCTGCTGTTTGTTGAATGCCACTGCTTAGTTATTCTTAGTGTAATCATTAGTTGCTTTATGAACAGAAAGTTTATGGTGAAATCCAGTCCAGAGGTATCATATCTTAAGTACTGAATGCCTATTCACATAAGTTGGATTTATTTATTTGGGTCTATTTCTGTTCAAAACTGGAATTCTGCAAAATATAATCAATCCACAACTACATTACGAGTCAAGGTAGAAAAAGGTTTGATTTAAAGGCGCTCCTGGGGATAAACTCTTCAGAGATGTAGGTAGATTTAATAAGTGTTTCTAATTAAAGTAATCTGTAGTTTTAGCTTTTGAATCCATTTATTGCCATTTGTGATGTAATGTGTTATAGTTGAATCCATCCATGTGTGATTTGTATTATGTGAACTAGATCTCTATGGCCAGTTCACTAAATCTTGGATAAAGCATATCTCAGCTTAATGCAAGGGTCTTCAAACTTGGCCCTTTTATGACTTGTGGACTTCAACTCCCAGAATTCCTCAGCCAGCGTTGAAGTCCACAAGTCATAAAAGGGCCAAGTTTGAAGACCCCTGGCTTAATGCAATGCATGAAGACTACCAGACAATGTACTGGCAGTGGTAGACTTCTGCTTACTAATGAAACCAACTTTTTCTTGCAGAAAATAAAAAAAATATTGACGAAAAAAAGACTACTACAAAAGGTAAAACTCCAACTTATTGACAGATTATGCAGAACACCACTGACTGCCATCGCAAATTCATGCAACAGGCACTCAGTGGTATCCATGGGTATATGCGTGTATGTAATAGTTGGCAAGATGGAGGACAGGATGCTACATGGTGGACCAGCCTCTTCTGTCCATGCATCTACACTGCACACATGTCCAAAAAGAACACATTTGTATTGCAATATTTCATCCACTATCTTATGGATCTTGTCATGCACACATTTGTGTTTCTGATGCTGATATATTTTAGAATAGAGTAGAGTAGAATAGACTGTTGTAAGAGGAGGACTACCTGCAATACAATAATATAATAATATAATAATACAATACCAAAAGCAAATAAACACAGCAGCAGAATATCGGAAAACAAATCATGGAAAATGGAAAACAGGTGTTCCCTGAAGGGACAAAATGTCCTGTAGATCAGGTTGGTTGTCCTACTCCCCAAAAGTGGGCATGAGGATGACCAAGGCTCAGAAGGGGGTTAAGCAGTGCCTCATAGGGGGTAGAGTTGACTTTGGGGTCCTCCCCCCAAATTCACTCCTTTTGCTAAATGCATGGAATGGAATGGAATGGAATGGAATAGAATAGAATAGAATAGAATAGAATAGAATAGAATAGAATAACAGAGTTGGAAGGGACCTTGGAGGTCTTCTAGTCCAGCCCCCTGCTCAAACAGGAAACTCTATACCATTTCGGACAAATGGCTGTCCAGTCTCTTCTTAAAAACTTCCAGTGTTGGAACATTCACTGCTTCTGGAGGCAGGTTGTTCCACTAATTAATTGTTTTAACTCTCAGGAAATTTCTCCTTAGTTCTAGGTTGCTTCTCTCCTTGATGAGTTTCCATCCATTGCTTCTTGTCCTGCCTTCAGGTGCTTTGGAGAATAGCATGACACCCTCTTCTTTGTGGCAGCCCCTGAGATATTGGAACGCTGCTATCATGTCCCCCCTCGTCCTTCTCTTCGGTAACTAGACATACCCAATTCCAGCAACCGATCCTTGTATGTTTTAGCCTCCAGTCCCCTGCTAATGCATCAGCATCTTCATCTCATGCTATTTTAAGGAATAGCAGAGAGTGGCTGTGCTCATGCCTGCTTGCAGTCAGAAGCCTTTCTTCCTAATCAATTGTACCCTCGTTTGGAGCTGTGCACCTTGTTGCCAATTCTTAATGTAAGGTATTATTTATGAACTGTCCAAGATGACCACATTTTCCTCTTTTAACAGGTAATGGAAGAACAGAGTTGGAGTTCTTTGGTCAATGGCTGGGCCTGAAAGAAGCTGATTCTCTCCTCCAAGTGCTTTTCTTCACTGGAGTAGTGCTTCTGTTCATTGTTTTGACATTCATGTCTATTATAGTTTTCCAGGGGAAAAAGGCCTATTATCACTTCATTGGGCACAGATCAATGGAGTCCCTCTAATTTGACTCTCTGTAGGACTGTATTTCTTTTTTTTTTTCAAAACAATTTTTATTAGTTTTCCATTTTACACCAACACAGCTTAAGAACCCACGTGGAAACATGGTGATCAATTTTTTTAAAAAACAAACAATAACATAGTAAATATATACACAATATTTCTTAAAAATTTCCCTATCTATATAAAATATTATAGTCAAATTAATACATTTTCAGATAAATTCATTCATTACTATGTCTAACCATCAACTGCATTAATCAATAAAAAGTTTTCAATCTATAGAAACCTATATTTCTTCACACATTTAAACTTAAACGTAAAAAACTCTCCATTTATTTTAAAAAATTATAATCAAATCAATATGTTTCTAAAATCAATTCATTCACTAATATAACATTTCATCCAGGTTATATAATTAAAGATAGACTAACATTCTCTATCTATTTATATTGTTATAAGCTCATTAAGACATTTCTAAAACGAATTTTCATTGAACATATCACTCAATATAAATTTCATTAATCACTAAAAATTTATAAAAACTCATTATCCATCCCAAAGATCCTGTATCATGCTTTCTTAATTTTGCAAATATTTAATCTTAAACTAACATATTCATTTACTATTCAGGTGCCCCAAGTGTTTTTTTTATTATTTAAGCATTATTAACTCCAAAAATAAATTCTTCTCTTTCTCACTAATATTCTATTGTTTTTCACTGTTTCTCCAGATCTCCAATAATTAGTTCCATCTTTTCCCATATTTCAATTCTTTTCTCATTATACCATCTCTAATATTAAAAACATATAAAGCCCTTTTAACAAAGTCCAAGTCCAAATCCAAATCAATCCAGATCACTATAATCAAATTTAATATTTATACCTTATTCTGGGTTTCTTTCTATTCCAAACAGGTTTCCAGAATCGGGCCTCCACCTGCCACACTATACTGAAAACAATATACAAAACAATATATTGAAAACAATATATTGAAAACAATATACAAAAAGGAAACTCCCATTGTGCATTTTGTTTAGTTAATATGAAAATTATAGTTAATCTGGGTAGCTCGTAGCAGAACATCATTTATTGGTTACAGGTAGTCTTCCACTTATGACTGTAATGGAGCCTGCCCATTATGGTTGTAAGTCATTACGGTCGTAAAATGGGTCACCCATATTATCAGTCTGATTATACTGTTTTGAAGCAGTGATTAAGTGAATCACAGCAGCCATTAAGCAAATACCACAGTCGTTAAACAAACCCATTTTTCACCATAGGGTATTTTTGCTGAAAGCTGGAAATAAACAGTGGTTTCCAGCAAAAAGATTGTAAATTGCAGTAATGTAACTGAAGGACACAAATGCTGAGTGTCTGAAATGCAGTCATGTGACTGCAGGGGGAGGGGCCTCATAATTGGAACTTCAGAATTGGGTGGGCAAGTACCTTTTGGCGGTTTGTCATAACTTCAAACAGTTAGTAAGCAACCAGATGTAAGTCAAGGACTACCTTAGTTCATTCATGAATCAATTCAGATGTCATAATAAATAATATTTTGCCAGAATAGGAATGAGTCTGTCAAAAATTTGGGTTCACATGTTCTTCCTTTGTTCAACAGAGGAACTGACTAAAACCTTCCACTTTTATTTTTCAACCAACCAGTTTCTGCTATATTTCATTTCAGAAAATTATGATTTATTAATCATCATAAATAATACTTTTAGTTAATGGGATCAGAAATTACAGATGAATCATGGTTTTCTCATTAATTAATTAGCATCTAAAGCAGCACAATTTCCCAAACAGTTGATGGAAAAGGAACCTGTGGTTATTTCAAAAACGACAACATGGTCTTCATTTTGTTATAAACAGGAATGTAGGGTGTGGTATGAACCTGAGATTTATACAGGCTCATTCTCATAAACCAAGACCTGCTATTTCATGTGAGCCACTGTCATCTTGATTTCTTTAAAAAGGAAGGTGTAAGTAACAATGATTGTGAACATTGATTTATGGCTGGAAGAGATTCAGCAACTGACATAAGAACAACTCATCTTAGGTGTATATACTTTTCTAGCAGCAAGCAATTTTTGAACATTTTGACAGTGTTCCAAAATCTTATTTGCCTAAGGATAATACCAAGAAAAACAAAATCAGTATCTAAGTTCAGAGAGTACGCCAAGCTACAAAGTAATTGTTAGCCTTTTGAGGTAATCCGTGTCAAGAAACTGCCTGAAATACTGGAACTTTTATTGTTGTGGAGTTCAACAGTAGAGCCTGGAATGCCTAACAGAGATTCTTTCCATTCCTTTTTATATTAAAGTGGAGCAATCTTGATTTCCCCCCCTGATGTTTACATAATGATTACTGATTTTCTTCGAGGCCATTTCAATAGTCCTCTCTTAAACCATCTCCCCATCAACTCACTTTCCTCTTTCACATGCCGAGAAATACTGAAGAGGTTTTATGAGAGTTGACTCCAGATTTAGGTATGGATTTTTGTTTGCAGCTCCATAGTTCTTACCATACAGATTCCCCTGTCCCTTCCAGTTGCATTGGCCAGGGGTAGGCTCTTTTATGACTTGTGGACTTCAACTCCCAGAATTCCTGAGCCAGCCATACTGAGGGGAAAGGGTGAGGTTTCCAAGCTGAGCCATGCTGGCTCAGGAATTCTGGGAGTTGAAGTCCACAAGTCATGAAGGGACCATAGTTCCCCCATGCTGGCTCAGGAATTCTGGGAGTTGAAGTCCACAAGTCATAAAAGAGCCAAGGTTGCCTACCCCTGCATTAGGCAGTACTGGAAAGTCATTGAACCCCAAAGGAAGAAGACCAGGCCTATGCTTGCCATCACTATACAGGTAGTCCCCAACATATGATTACAATTGAGCCAAAAGTTTATATTACTGGGACACTTAAGTGAGTTTTGCCCCATTTTATGACCTTTCTTGCCATACTTTTTTAAGTGAATCATTGTAGCTGTTAAGTTAGCAGCCCAGTTGTTAAGCAAAGTCAATGGGGAAGCCAGATTCACTTGTCAGAAGGTCACAAAAGAGGATCACATGACCCCAGGACACTGCAAGCATCATAAATATGAACCAGTTGCCAAGCATCTGAATTTTGATCACATGGTCATGGGGATGCTACAATGATCATTAAGTGTGAAAAATGGTCATAAGTGACATTTTTCAGTGCCATTGAAGCTTTGAATGGTCACTAAATGAACTGTTGTAAGTTGAGTACTACTTGTACTTTTCCTTCTGTCTACTCATAGTGGTGGCAGAGCATTGGGTTGTGCCTTGTGCAGGGGATTGGTATGGGACTTTCAGATGAACCTTGTGTATGAAGTTGTGGGACATGGACATCTGTTTTGCTAAGTCTTCCATGACTGATTTTAGCCCTTGAAGGTAACCCAGGTTCAGGAAACAAAATTATATGACCTTCTGGAGCTGTATTATTAGAGAGTAGAATCACAGGATCATAGGGCTGGATTGGAGGTCTTATAGTTCAACCACCAGCCCAAGACAAGAGTCTTTATTCCATCCTAGAAAAAAAGTTGTCCAATCTTTTTTTTAAAAAAACCCTTATTAATGGAGCACCCACAATTTCAGCTGTTCCATTGACTAATTATTCTTGTTGTCAGAATTTTTTTCCTTAATTCCAGACTGAATCTCCTTCTGACAAGGTTCCATCCATTGCTTCTTATCTAACCTTCAGCAGCTTTGGAGAATAATTACATTATCTATATGTTTGGGTATAACGACATAATAGTTGATTTAGTTCTTGGCTTCCTACATTATATGAATTGTGATCTGTAAACTATGGCTTCTCACTAACTTTGGTATATGAAACTAAACATAGATTGTTTCACAAACAATTCATTGAAAGATGGCATGGCATGAGCTATGAACACAGTCAATAAGTAGAGAACTTTATGTGTAACTGGTTTTTTGACATCTCAGCTGTATGTACCCTGAAGATGACAAGCTTTAAAATAATTATTTCTTGGCTACCATAGAAATTTCTTGATAAAATACCTACCAAGAAGACTAGCTGCCCCAAATCTTTATTATTCTGTAATAAGAGAGTTGGAAGGGACTAATTTTTCTAGGGGTCAACTCTTGGTCTTCTAGTCCAGGGGTATCAAACTGCCAGCCTGCGGGCTGGATGTGTCATTCTGAAACGCACCCATCTCAGCTCCAACAATGGGAAAAAAGTCGTGATATGTCACGACATGTCATGTGACATGGCAAGTTTGACACCCCTGTTCTAGTCCAACCCCCAGCTCAAGTTTAGTAACCAATCAATTGGATTTTGATGGGCAGCTATAGAAATGGAATTAAATACTATAGGTTGCCCTGCCCCCTCATCATAAATCTAAAAAGCTGTTAAAATATAAAAAGACAAACAGATGTGTTCATTGTTACAAGATTTTGGATCAATCTGTAACTGTTGGAAGTGGCAACATGTTACGGTAGCATTGAAAACTACTACCATAATAACATACATTGTTTCTAAACCTTGCAGTTGTTTTCAGCCATTAAAGTCTGCCACAGTCCTAGAAGGTTTTAATTATCAAATATAGTACCAAAAATTACCAAATGTAATAAAAGTTGCTGTCTATAGAATTTTAATATTAAAATTTAAAAGGGATTAATTAAAAAGTGTGTGAACCAACTGCAGGCTAAGAAACTGATTGTTAACTCAATAATTTGGAAGGCCAACTTGATTTTTCTAGTATTTCAGAAACAATGTATCTGCTTTCATTTACCACTTCAATGCGATTTCCTGGTCCACTTCAGAAGTAGATGTAGATTCAAAGATTTGACTGAATCAGCTTCAAATTTACTTTCCAAACTGAAGCTTTGCAGAATTCTAATTCCCTTGCATTTATTAGGAAATATGGATGGATTGTAGGCCAAATCCAAAGGTCTATTCCAGCCAACATTGGATTTAATCCAATATTTGCATCTACTAAAAGCTTTTGGCAATATAAATTTTGGTTCATGCTTCACCTTAAGCCATAATTTAGTTTGTTTGATGTTGCCTTTATATGTTGTGCAAAGACAAGAGTAATTCTCTATGCAACTTTAGCTGCTGTGATTAGAAATATGAATAAGGTTTTCAAACTGCTGAGGTCATTGTGATCTCTTAATTATATCCAGTTGTTCCAGTTCAGACTTTGGTTAAATTTATGCATCACACTATGGCTACTTGGTAATTCATAGTTTATAATATGATTCAGCAATCAGCTTCATCTGTGAACCAATTTTTTCTTGTTCAACAGATCATGGTTCAAAACAAACTATGGCTTAGTACAACAACACTTAAGCCTTGAGGTCATGAATAAGAGCAAATAGGTTCAAACAGGGGCTAGTTAAACTAATTTCATCTAAACTTGAAATAAGGGGGTTATACTAAAATCAAACTATTACAGCCAGGGTTTGAAAAACTGGACTCAGGCATATGGCCTTCATTTTACCTTCAGGAAGAGAAAGAAAAGAGACTAATATTCATAAAGCATCAGATAATTCTTTACACTGCATCTTCGAGTAGTCTCTTCAAGCAATTTAATATATTTTAAACTATAAGCATTATACTTTGAATTATGTTTCAGACTGCATTTCCTGTAATTACTACAGTTATTAACATACTAAATATTGCTTAATACCTTTTTGCTGTATTACCTGGCTGCATAATATAATATTATTGGTTTGTTAATATAAACATTTATGCTTCACCCTTGGAGTGTGTTTGCATGACACATGGCACACAAGACCATGTAAACCCAGCACACAAAATTTAAATCATCTAAAAGACAAGTAAAAATGGAATAACAACGTGAGCAAAGAGGAAAAAATATTTTACGTAAATTTTACATTGCCTGGAAAATGAATATCTTGCTTAATTTGAAGATCTAGGAAAAGATGACTAGGGAGTCTTTTTAAAAATGAAATTAAGGTAAAACATATCAGCATTAATAAACATACCATATTTACTAATATATAGCATCACCAATACACTCTGGATTTAATGAGCTTAGGGCAAAAGTGTTTTGTAGCCATGCTTTAGAAACACAAACGTCTTCTGACATTGAGATATTGAATTAATCCATTTCCTGGCTTTGCCCAAGCTGAGCTGAACCACAAATGAAGCCAATCAATGGGGTGTGCACAAAAACCACAAAAAAAGATAATGGCTCCTAAACTAAGTTACTCATGATCAAATGGACAAGTTTTGGTAATTTTCTTAGCCAAACCTGTATTGAATTAGCTTGCTTATTCCTCTAGGATTTTTTTTATTTCCCCATCTATCCTGCTGCCCTGAGATTTCCTGGTGGTCTCCCATCCAATCAGGACCAACCCTACTCTGCTAGATAACTACCCTATATAAAACATATCAGGCAAACACCTTCCCACTATCTCTTACTTACAAGTAGTTCTCAACTTACAACCATTTGTTTAGTGGGTTGTTCAAAGTTACAACAGCACTGAAAAATCATTTTTTACACTTACAACCATTGCAGCATCCCCATGGTCACATGATTGATCAAAATTCAGGCCCTTGACAACTGGCATGTATTTATGACATTTGCACTGTGGGGGAGGGGGGGTCATGAGATCACCATCTGTAGCTTCTCCAGCGGGCTTCCAACAAGCAAAGCCAATGGTTAAGCCAGATTTCCTTAACAAGCCCACAATTCATTTAACAACCACAGTGATTCGCTTAACACAATGTGACGAAGAAAAAGTCATAAAGTGGGAACACAGCTCACTTAACAATTCAATCAATCAGAACAGAGCTGGAAGGGACCTTGGAGGTCTTCTAGCCCATCCCCCTGCTCAGGCAGGAAACCCTATACTATATCAGACAAATGGCTGTCCAGTCTCTTCTTAAAAACCTCCAGCGATGGAGCACCCACAACTTCTGGAGGCAAGTCGTTCCACTGTTTAATTGTTCTCGCTGTTAGGAAGTTTCTCCTTAATTCTAGGTTGCTTCTCTCTCTCTCTCTCTCTGATGAGTTTCCATCCACTGTTTCTTGTGCACCCGGCCTTCTGGTGCTTTGGAGCTGTTTTGCTCACAACAGTCATTTTGGGCTCGATTGTGGTCCTACGCGGGAGGGCTACGTGTACTCGAGAAACATACAATCGGAACAGCCAACTCAGACTGCGGAGTCCCCCACCCACGCGTTCCCACGAACGCATCCCTCCCGTGCAGGAAGCTGCACTGCAGCCTGCTGGACCAACGTCAGCGCGCAGCTGCCCGGAGATCCATCCAGCCGAAGGCCCCGCGGCCGAGACAGCTTAAGGCAGAGGTAGGCAACCTTGGCTCTTTTATGACTGATGGACTTCAACTCCCAGAATTCCTGAGCCAGCTATAGCTGGCTCAGGAATTCTGGGAGTTGAAGTCCATCAGTCATAAAAGAGCCAAGGTTGCCTATCCCTGGCTTCAGGAGCTCCTATGGGAAAAGTCCGAGGAGAGCCACCTGTTCGCGGCTCCCCCTCCCCCCGCCCGCAACTCAGGCCCGGGTTCCCCCTTCCCCGCCCTCCCGCAGCCCCGCCCCTAGCTCTCCTGGCCCCGCCCCCCCCTGACAAAAAGCCGGCGGGGAGGAGGAGGAGGAGGCGGGAGGAGGAGGCGCGGGGTGTCTCTCCCTCCCCGCCAATGCTCGGCTGCCTTCGGAGAGGGCGCCAAACAAAGGCTGGTCGTTCGCTCCCTCCCCCGGGCGGGCGGGCGGGCGGGGGACCCTGTTGCAGCCCTGGCCAAGTGCCGGGGACGCGGCGGCGGCGGCGGCTGGAATTAGAGATGCTGCCCGGCTGAGCGTCAGGGACTAGCGGGCCGGGCTGCGCGCGCGAGAGAGGCGCTTCTGGTGGCTGGTGGCCGTCCTCGCCCCCGCCGCCGCGACCATGGCCATCGCGCACATCGCCACCGAGTACGTCTTCTCGGACTTCTTGCTGAAGGAGCCGTCGGAGAGCAGATACAAGGGGCTGCGGCTGGAGCTGGCCCTCGACAAGCTGGTCACCTGCATCGCCGTCGGGCTGCCGCTGCTCCTCATCTCGCTCGCCTTCGCCCAGGAGATCTCCATAGGTAAACAGGCGGCAGCCCTGGGGAGCCGCCTGCCTTCATCCGGGGCTCGGGCTGGAGGGGGGAGCTGGGGGGGGGAGAGGGAGAAGAGGAGCCCCACTTCGCTGGAAGGGCCGGGCTCGGCTGGGCGCTCTCTCTCTCTCTCTCTCTCTCTCCTCCCCCCCCCCCCGGTTTTGGCGCCTTTGAGGACGGGGCGGGTCGTGAGAAGAGGCTGTCACCCGTTCGAAGGGGCGACATTCTGGTCCTTGGCTCGGAAAGGCGGCTGGTGCGGGTCCACGGGCCTGCCTCGGAGCCTGGGGCACGGGGGGGGGGCTGGAAGAGCAAAAGGAATGAATTTGGGGGGGGAGGACCCCAAAGTCAACTCTACCCCCTGTGAGCCGCTGCTTAACCCCCTTCTGAGCCTTGGTCATCCCCCCCCCCCACTCCTGGGGAGCGGGACACCCAACCTGATCTGCAGGGCTTCTTCTGCACCCTTCAGGGGACACCTGTTTCCCATTTTCCACGATTTGTCTTCTGATACTCTGCTGCTGTGTTTATTTGCTTTCGGCATTGCTTTTGGTATTATTATTACATTATTGTATTGCAGGTAGTCCTCACCTTACAACAGTCTATTCTACTCTACTCTACTCTATTCTAAAATATATCAGCAGCAGAAACACAAATGTGTGCATAACAAGATCCATAAGATCTTGTTACAACAGCACTGAAAAAAAGTGACTTGGGACTGTTTCCCAGATTTAGGATCGTTAGGACTTCTGCATGGAAAGAGAGCACCAAGGACCCCTTAGGACCATTTTTCACTTACGACCTTTGCAGCATCCCCATGATCACCATTCGGACACTTGGCTGACTCCTATTTATGAGGGTTGCACTGCGCCTGGGTCATGTGATAAGCTTTTGCAACCTTCTGACAAGCAAAGTCAATGGGGAAGCCAGATTCACTTAACAACCATGTCACTGTCTCAATAACTGTGATGATTCATTTAACAATTGGGGCAAGAAATCGTAAAAACTCACTTAACAAATGTTTCACTTAGCGTCATAAATTTTGGGCTCAGTTGTGGTTGTAAGTTAGAGGTCCCCAATCTTTTGAGCACCAGGGACCGGTTCCATGGAGAGAGGTTTTTCCGCGGACTGGAGAGTGCGTGGTTTTGTGTGCTGCCTGCATCTCGTGGATGCGGCTTTGCTTGTTTGTGTGGACCGGTTGCTGGCATGCCACGGACCGGAACCGGTCCACGGGCCGGGGGTTGGGGACCCCTGATATATATGCCTACAAAAAGCTGCTAAGATTTGGCAACCTCCCAAGAGGTCTGCCATGCTTTAAATGTTACTTTCATGTTTATTTTTATGTAATGTCAGAGAGCTGCAGCTCTGTAAAAGAAAATGGCTTAGCATCAGTGGAGTCATCTAGCTGCATAAGTCGAGGACTACCTGTATTGTCCTTATCTTCTTTACTACACCCTCTTATTGCTATTATTATTATTACTACTCTGTTGCTTTGTATGTGCACTGAGAGCTTCTGCACCAGAGACAAATTCCTTGTGCCTAATCACACTTTTACTGCAGTCCTCGACTTACAACAGTTCATTTAGTGATCGTTCAAAGTTACAACATCCGTGAAAAAAGTGACTTATGCTCATCTTTTCACACTTACAACTGTTGCAGCATCCCCATGGTCAAGTGATCAAAATTCAGACAGTTGGCATCTGACTCTTATTTTATGACGGTTGCAGTGTCTTGGGATCATGTGATCTCCTTTTGCAACCTTCTGACAAACAAAATCAATGGTTAAATCAGATTCATTCAACGACTGTGTTACTAACTTAACAAATGCAATGATTCACTTAACAACTATGGCAAGAAAGGCTGTAAAATGGGGCAAAACTCACTTAAATGTCTTGCTTAGCAACATAAATTTTGGGCTCAATTGTGGTCGTAAGTCGAGGACTACCTGTATTCTGTTGTAGGTTTTCTTTTTTTTATGTTAACCTCCCTGAATGTTATGGGTGTGAGATGGGCAGCTATATAAATTAAGTAAACAGCAATCACTTAATTGCATTTTGGTCATAGACCAGCATAGAATTAATAACAATTTTCTTTATTTAAAAAGAAGTAGAAATAAAAAAAATATATAAAAATCATGTCGATGAAGATTGTAAGGTAGAGTTGTCAGGAAGTTGAGTCATCACGGACTTATTTTTTTGCTGGTTCGAAACGTTTCACTGCTTATCCAAGTAACCTCTTCAGTCTGAGCAAATTGGTTAGGGGGACCAACCAGAATGGTTTTATATAGAATAAAAGAAGATAAAGTTAAAATTATAAACATAAAATTACAGCATTCAGGAATTAAAATGTGGGAGAATCCTATAAAATTACAATTAGCGTATAATCTAAATGCTATAAAACTCAGCATAGATAAGTATAAAAGGAGAAGTATAAAATTTATACAATACTATATAATATAAAATTATGCTACCTTATATTAAGTCTGATACTTGCTGAAACTCTGCTAGGATTTGTTGGAATTTAGTAAATAGATAAATCTCTAGAACAGAGGATGGTAGCCAAACCTTGTAGTCTTAAACAGGTTTATTAAGGCAAAAGTCCCATTATAAACAGGGAGACTTGCTTGCAGATAATGAGATCAACCAGATTACATTGGGTTAATTAATGTAAGCTAATCAAACAGAAGCTTCTCTCTCTCTGTACAAATATAAGTTGTACTAGATGTGGTTTAAGAATAATCCCCCTCCTTGGTGAACTAGTACTTGGAAAAAATAGGATTATATTGTATTTACTATGCTATTGTATTTACTAGACTACAAGTCACCTACAGTCTTTCTATTTGGCAGCCCATACATCTAAATAAATGCAAGCTATTTGATTTGCATTCAATGGCATAAAATGCATATATTCATAATATCACCTTCATTATCTATGCCAGTATTTCTCAACCTCAGCAACTTTACGATGTGTGGACTTCAACTCCCAGAATTCCCCATCCAGTCATGTTGACTGGAGAATTCTGGGAGTTGAAGTCCACACATCTTCAACCCGCCAAGGTTGAGGAACACTAATGTATGCAATGTTGGTTGTGAACCTCTACAACTCTGTGGGAAGCTACTTTCCTATGCCTTGCTTGTGAGAACAGGCAACTGGATAGATTGGAGAGGCCTTTTTGGTAGTGACTTCACTTCTGTTTTGATCCTGAAGTACTCCAGATGTCATATTGACAAATTTGCAGAGACTCTTTAAGGTTTCCTTTGAAGTTATGATTTTTCCATAAGAGATGTTTTATTAGACTGCTGATACGTTACCTGCTGTACCTGTTGGTCTTTGATAAGCAGGTTGTTTTTATTCTTACTATTACTGCCGATTCCAACTGATGTTGTAGTTTATTATTTGCTAGGAGGTGTTTTTTTCCCCCCAAAACTCCCCATCTTCTTAAAGAAATAATCTATCAAGGGCCTGTTACCTGGCTTCCAGTAGCCCTGTCTTCAGCAAGTAAACCTCACTCATGATGCATCGTATGATTATATCCAGATTTAGCCTACACTAGGTTGGATTAACTTGATCGTACTTTAAATCAGATGGTATTAGGATGCCTGGAAGCCACACTTTTTGGAGAGGCTAAGGAACAGAATTAACAAAAAAAAAGAGGCAAGTTATATGTTCCAAGCATTGGAGTGGTTGGTGGTGCTGATGGATCTCTTTGTAGATGTAGTTTATATGTTGCAAATGTGATTTTTAGCCTTGAACCTGTTTTCTTTTGCAAGGGATTCATAGAGTTTAGATACATTTTGAATTCCTTCTCTCCTTCCTTCCTCCCTCCCACCCACCCATCATCCATCCATCCATGTATAGGCAGCCCACCTCATATACATGTCTCTGGGAGGCCCACAATTAAAACAGAATAAAAACAGTAAAAGACAACCAGAGTTAAAAAGCACAAAAATAATATAAAAGTAGCACCCAATAAGGCTTACAACCACTCAAGCTAGCCATGACACAAGCTTATCTATGCTATCAGAGTCCCAGGCTCAAGGGCAAAGCCAGGTTTTTAGTGTCTTTAGGTAGATGGGTGTGCACATAAATTTGTTTTAAAAAGTAATAAATAAAATGTTATGCAAAATGGCTGAGACCATGAGGGAATAAGATTTTTTTGGGTGAATGCTGAAATCAGTTTTTCTTCAACCGTATTTTTAAATTGAATAATTAAATTCAGTTAGATACCCTGAACCACATTGGGCTGGTTTAAACCAATACAGGAGTGGAAAACCTTTTGGTAAATAAGAGTTGCATTTAACACTTGTGAGTATTAAGAGCCACAAAGCAGTTGTTCTGTCTCAGCCTACGTGAGTCCTTGTTAGGCTCACAAGGAGAAACCCCTCTTCCAAGAAACAGGCAGGAATCATAAGAAAAAACCAACCCCTTTTATCCTCACAGACCTGAATCAATGTCCAAGGCAAACAAACAGTCCACAGAAACCCAATCCTCAACACAAACGGTTGCCCTTGGCAACCAGCACCTCCCAGACCTTCCCTTTTATAATTCAGTCAAGGCATGGCTTCCTAATGCCTTCTCCTTTGCCTTTGGAGCCGCCCCATTGCATTCCTTTGTCCTACTCGCTTCTCTTACCTGTGCTTTCGTGCATCCTGGATTTGTCCCAGCTGTTCTTCATCACTGTCCAACTCAGGCTCCCAGCACAGCTGTGTCTCAGCCTGAGCACGAGTAGAGGGGCCAGGGTTCTCGTCCGACTGTAAGTCTTGGAGCTCCTCAAAGCCTTCCTCTGACTCTAATGTCCCTCCAGGCCCCTTCTCCTCCTCTGAGTCTTCAGACTCAACTGCCGGATCCACTGGGTGGTGAGGAATCGCAACAGTAGTTGGGATCATATCATAAAACAATACTGGGCTGGCTATTTTTATTAATAGATCATTCTACACTGAGGCACACAGTAAACTTTTTATGAGTGTTTCGTACTTCAAAATGAAGGAATCCAGTTT